CATAATGTATACATAGAGTGATGGTATGTGTTGTTTTTATTTTGTATTTTTTACTCTAAAATAACGATTACTTTTATATCAGGAAGGAAGTCACCACACACAATATCATTAAAATTACATGTAATTTGTATGTCGGCGTATCCCATCATATGTACATGTACATGTATGTACTGGTACTTTTTATGAACACTGTACATGTACATCATTCATTTTATTTACTAATCCTACAGTACAAGTACATTTGTATTTTAGTATTTGTTACCTTTCATGTTCCTCTAGATTGTAAATGTCTATCCCTCTCTTGTCTCTTTACTACATAATACGTACATGTACATGTACATGTATACCTACCAACTAGTATTGTACTATTGTTTTTATCTATTTTTGGCACTTCTATTCTCTCTCTCTTTCATAGCATACATATACATGTACATGTACGTTTATCCTTATATCCTTATTTGTTCTTCTCTCTCTCTCCTCTCTCTCTCTCTCTCTCTCTCTCTCTCTCTCTCTCTCTCTCTCTCTCTCTCTCTCTCTCTCTCTCTCTCTCTCTCTCTCTCTCTCTCTCTCTCTCTCCTTCTCTCTCTCTCTCTCCCTCTCTCTCTCCCTCTCTCTCTCCCTCTCTCTCTTTCTCTCTCTCTCCCTCTCTCTCCCTCTTCCTCTAGTCCCAAGACCACTATATCTCAGTTGTTTGCTATCATGAGGCAATGGATACCACAGACTCAAGGACACCTAACGCTATTAACAAGAGAGGTTGGTAGAAGTGACATACATGTACATGTACATACTATACATATGTACATGTACACACACATATAATGTACATAATATTTATATAAAAAACATTGTATGTCATGTACAGAACATTACGAAAAATATTTGTCATTAATTTTATATTGTCTCTGATGTTTCTTTATTGATTTTACCTCTCTCTTAATCTCTTTCTTCCTCCCTCTCTCTCTCTCCTTTTTGTAATGCACATTGTACATGTATAACCACTTACAATGTACATGTATCTTTATTGCTCTATCTCTTTCATGCATACTCTCTCATGTATCCTCTCTCTCTCCTCTTTCTCTCTTTTTTCTTTGTTTCTCTCCTTTTTTGTAATGCACATTTGTATAACTATAACCACTTGCAATGTATCTTTAATATTTTTTCTCTCTCTTCTCCTCATATTCCAACAGGTATTAAGAAGAGGAGCACATGTTAATGATAAGGATGGACTAACTGATCTCTCTTTGCTTCACTTTGCTTCAAAGGCGGGAGCTGTGGGCATAGGCAATGGTACCACAGCTGCTAACCTCGTTAACACTTTACTCAATAAAGTATGGGCCATTATTAGTTTGGATATTGTTAGGATATGATTGGGATATTTGTATTTGTTTGGATAAGTTTTAATTTTGATGTTTTTGGCTCGCTTGAATAAACTTAGTTTATTTGTACATGTACATGTGCATGCATTTAGATTAATAAAATTTTTTAAGAATTCAATTTGTGATAAATGAATCTAAGCACTCTTGCTGTGTACATGTATTAATATGGCATTGATGTACCCATTTTTCAGAAAAAAAGCAAAAAGCATTCGCTATAGTACAGGGTATTTTCTAAAACATTTGCTACTTTAAAAATGGCCATAACTCAATTTTAATTCATTTATTAATACACTAATACATGTACATACATGTATATAATTCTTTTGTTCTTTCTCTCTCTCTCCCCCTCCTCCATTAAAGGGTGCCAGTACTGATCTAAAGTGTCATTGGACGGACATGAATGCCTTACATTATGCTGTGTTCTTTGATTGTGCGGAGGTTGTAGAATTACTCTGTGAACATAATCCAGGTAGAGATTTACAGTATATGTACATGTACATGTATGTACTGTACATTTACATGGCTTGTAGCACTGTACATTTTGACCAAATTTTGTCAAAAATTCAAAGAAAGAAATTTTCAATTTATAATTTTTTTGATATGTACATGTACATGTACTTACATGTATGTTGTGTAGAAAGTTTGAGCTGATTCCGATCAAATTTGAATTTTTTATGAGTTGCTCAAAAATTGGGCAAAAGTCCCTGTACTATAGTACAGGGATTTTGGCCAAATTTCATCAAAAATGAAAAGTATAGAATTCTCCATTTTTATAACTTTTTCTGATACATATAGGTGTACTTATGTTGCGTAGAAAGTTTGAGCTGATTCCGATCAAATTTGAATTTTTTATGAATTTTTAAAGTTGCTCAAAAATTGGGCGAAAGTCCCTGTACTATAGTACAGGGATTTTGGCCAAATTTCATCAAAAATGAAAAGTATAGAATTCTCTATTTTTATAACTTTTTCTGATACATATACGTGCACTTATGCTGCGTAGAAAGTTTGAGCTAATTCCGATCAAATTTGAATTTTTTATGAATTTTTAAAGTTGCTCAAAAATTGGGCGAAAGTCCCTGTACTATAGTACAGGGATTTCGGCCAAATTTCATCAAAAATGAAAAGTAGAAAATTCTTCATTTTTATAACTTTTTCTGATGCATATACGTGTACTTATGTTGCGTAGAAAGTTTGAGCTGATTCAGATCGAATTTGAATTTTTTATGAATTTTTAAAGTTAGTCAAAAATTGGGCGAAAGTCCCTGTACTATCAAAAATGAAAAGTATAGAATTCTCCATTTTTATAACTTTTTCTAGTACATATACGTGTACTTATGTTGCGTAGAAAGTTTGGACTCATTCCGATCAAATTTTAATTTTTTAATGAATATTTCAAGTTGCTCTAAAATCCTTATCATAATCCACACACTGGACTTCTTTCCAAAAAGTCCATGCTTCTTGTCAAAGTCTTAATTCTTGCATTTACTGTAGTACATGTGTATGCATGTACATGTAAATGTAAATTTATGGTACATGTACACGTTTTCATGTAACAAGTGTCATTTTTGCCGTATAATATTATTATCATTTATATTCATAGTACTGCTGACTACCATCTCCTCTCAGTTTGATGGAGGGAACTCGTTACACATTGCAGCTGCTAGCCTCTCACTGGCGTCTGCTAAAACCCTGGTTAGCTAATTACTGTTGCATATTAATGTCCTTATGCTATGAGCTGATTCTAAAGTCAAATTTTATAAAGTTACAGCCCTTTTTTAAAAATTGGCCAATTAAAAAAAAATGCCTTGTACTTTAAAGCCCATATTTTTTCCAAAAATTAACTTTGAAATGACTCTCAATTTTTACTCCTTTCTCTCTTTTTCAGTTGAAGTACAAAGCTGATGCTGGTTTTGCTGATGCTACTGGTCTCTTACCACATGAGGTCATTCCACAAGGTACAGTCAAATAATCATTAAAATCTTATTTAGTGTACATTTGTATATACATGTACATGTACATGTGTATATTAAAGCCATTAATGTTTGCAAAAGATGAGAAAGAAAATTTTTTACAATATATGTATACTATATCCCAGTTCAGTTTGGGACAAGTGGAAGCAGCTGCGTGGAATTTTTTCTGCTGCTGATAAGCAGTACAATAGCTGCTGGCCATCATTATCAGAAAATCTTGCTCTGTTAGCTTTTTAAAGGAAGAATTATCAGTTTGGGCACATGTGCTTATGTAAACTATGACATCATGTATGTCATTGCAGTTAGCTTTGGTATGCCATTGGGTTTATAGGGAGAACCCGGTTTTCAGGGTTTCCAAGGGTTAAGAGACCCAAGGTTTCACAGATTTTGATGGACTTTGGCGACTAAGAACCTGTAAAAGTTTCATCCTTATCTCACTTTCCTATAAAAAGTTATTCCAGTTTTTCTTGTCCCAAACTCAACTGGGATATAGTATAGTAAAGTGCATTCAGCTACAAGCACATGTATTAAAATAATGTACATGTACATGTACAGTCAAACCTGTCTATTCCGGACACCTTGGTACCCAATAATACCCTCCTGATTATGAACCTGTCCTTATTTCAAAGGTTCATTAATACACATTACTATTGTATTGGGACTGATACTACCTGTCCTCATTATAGAGGCCTCCTTATTTTAGAGTCCCCACAATAGCAGGCTATACTGTACATGTTCAGTTATTATTCTGTTGTATTCTTGCAATTATTGCACGAGGGGCGGTCGAGAGGAAAATGTAGCACGAGGTGAAGCCGAGTGCTACATTTTGTTGAGAC